TAGCACTCTACCACTTGAGCCACAGCGCCACTTCCGGCTTTTTTCTTATGTGGTGCTGAGGAATCGAACCCAGGGCCTCGAGCATGCAAGGCAAGTGCTCTACCACTGAGCCACCTTCCCAGCCCTCCTTTGTGAGATATTAAATGATAATAATACAATTATAAGAACCACAAGGAAGAAAAGGCAGGCAAAGGACAAAAGGACAGAGGGTTCCAGAACAGTCAAGACATAGAATGATGGTTGTTAGGAGGTAGGGGAAGGAAAACTGGAGAGCTATAGGCTTTTAATAGGTACAGAGCTTCAGTTTGGCAAGGAGAATAGTTTTGTAGGTGGATGGTAGTAATGTAAATGGACTTAGTGGCACATTTAAACGATTGAAATAGTAAATGTTACTGTATATTTTAATCACTTTTTTGTGGCACATATGAACTCAGGGTATCACATTTGCTCAGCTTGCTTGCTTGGCTTGCACTGTACCTCTTGAACCACACCTCCAGCTGTGCTTTCTTCTGGTTAATTGGAGATAGAGTCTCTTGGACTTTTCTGGCTTTGTCTCCTGAGTAGCTAGGATTTGTAGGCATGAACCATTGGTATCTAGTTTATACATACATACATATATAAATATGTATATATATATTTTTTAAGGGAATAAAGGTTATTTATGATTAGAAAAATTAGTTTCAGTATGTATTTATTTTTGTCTAGAAAACTATATAGTCCATAAAATTTAAAACATATCAGAAGCAAAGAAAAGCTAAATCAAATTTATTTAATAATATTAATAGTTTCTTAAATTTTTTTCTTAAATGTATTAGCTCTTTCTTTTGATCAGAAAAGTATAAGTTATAAAGACAGTAAAATATTTTAATCATTTTACATAAACACTTAAGCATTTTTCCTTTGTTTCACAGTCTGTTGTTTCTGAATGAGGACTAATTTGAATAATCACAATGAAATTCTATGGCACTAATATTAGGAGTGATCCAACATTAGTAACTTCTTGTAGATACAAAGGGTCATTCCTGTGAAGATAATAGCAGGCAGAAGAAACAGATAACAATTTTTACTTTGCAAATGGGGGCACTGGGACTACAGTGCCTAATCTGTTCTGGATTGTACACTGGAAAACTGACCATCTCAGCCCAGAGTTACAAGTTGTCATGGAGATCTGCCACCGCAGGTGTGCCCTAGCAGGTGTCTCTGCCCTGTGCGGATTGTGTTGGATGATGCTGAGCATCCTCACTGCTCTGGTCATATGTGTTACAGATGGAAGAAGTTCATTTAATTGGCTTACTGGAAGCAGCATTGACCCACTGGCAGATTACACAGTGTCCTTGTCATCTGATTCCTCGTCTTCCTCCTTGCTGTTTACCCACAAGAGGAGTGAAAAGTCACAGAGAGTATCTTGGAAGCCAGTAGGACCTGATTTTGGGGAAAAAAAGCTGAACCTTCCTGGAGATGAGGTGGATAACAAAGCAAATGGTGGTAAGATTGTTAAAATGTGTTTAAAATTACTTATCCTCTTAAATTACTGCAAAGGCTTAGCTCAAGGAAGTATTTCTGACTGTGTTCACATTTCCTTGTAACTTGTAATTAAGCCCATTAAAATTCAATTCAGTAAGTGTTGTCTGGACATTAGCATATTGAAAGCATTGTTTTTTAGGTATTGCAGAAAAGTTGAGTTAACTGAAGTGAAGTTATTTAATGACTTTCTTCAACATTAGCCTTACCCATCAGTCACATTGGTGATCATCACATAAGGTATACTTAGTAAACCAAGTCCACACAGTGAGTAGGTTTATATCTAGGATGAGAATGGAGAGAAAATGGATAGAGGAGGGGTCTTTCAGAGGAGGGAGACTGACATGCAGGAAGGGATGAAAATGGAAAGGTAATAAGGTGTTTGTATAGTGGGAGAGACTCAGAGGACTTCAGTGAAGAATGTTTATGGAGAGCTATTTGTATTAAGGCCCTATGGGTTTTAAGTAGGGTAGGTGGATAGATGCTCTGGGACCCATAGGAAGTTATGGTTAAGGGTGCTGGGAGGTAAGGTCTACATCAGGAAGCAGCTCCCTGATACACTGAGTAGAGGCAGGCATGAGGACTCTGGCCCTTCTAGAGAGGTATGTGAGACCAGCAAATGGAGTGAAGAATATTAAGGGCCAGAGGCACCATTACATGAAGGTTTGGTGGCATGAAAGTGGATGGGCATCCCTGTGTCAGAGCAAGTGGGATTCCAAGGGAACAGAGTAGGAAGTCTGATAGGCTCCAGACCTAACACCAAGAGGACAAGGAGGATGTTAGCTTTCTATAAGACTTGTAGCTCTGAGAGGGTGTGAAAGCCCACAGGGAGAAAATATGCAGCACAAAGGTCCTAGTATGGGGAAAAGCATCATGTATATTTCAGTTTGTAGAAATAAGATTACTGCAGTAATTAAGACTAGGAACTAAATTTATATAACTGTGAGGCACACATAAGCACACTTTATTTATTCCTTTTCATTATTTTCAGTTACCAATCTGTTACCTTTATCTTTAGAGAGAGGGGAAAGAGTAGCCATTTTCTTGCTGCATACTCTTGAGTTTGAAGGTGTGCCAGTCTCTCTTCCTTCCTGCTCAGCTGCATCTCACAAATCCTCCGTTTACTTTCTTCTTCTCCCATTAGTCCTTCAAGCTGCTGGTCAAGAAGAGTGTATATCCCTTGGTCTTTCCCAGAAGCTTAAACTATCAAGTTTTAATGAAACCCTAAAGTGACTATTGCCTTCCATCACCTCTGTGGCTTATTGCCTCAGACCTATAGGCACACTCACCTTTGTGTGAATTAGGCCTTTACAGTAAGCTCTGAAGAATTGGGGAAGTATGTAATCCAGTTCATTTGTGCTGATTGGTAGATGGACTCTGGGTTCTTTGGTTTCTTTACTGAATGAAGATGGAAGTTTAGAATTAAGTGAAAATTGCTGGGGATGGCAGCAGTTGTCCATAACTCATATTACTCTCTAGTATTTCCCAGTCTGCATTTTTAAAGTAAAAAAATATCATGGATGGTATGGGAGGAATTCAGAGACTGTATAGAAGCTAAGGTAAGAGGTAAAATCTAATTTAGAACCATTTTTCATAGCAGTTAATGTGGATTTTGGGAAAACTCAGAACTAAGTAGCTAAATTTAATGCCAATAACTGTTTGTTTTCATTTGATTAGTATATTTGAGTCTACCCATATACCTTTATAGATAGAAAATATTTCACATGCCATTTTTGGTTATGTATACTTCCTTGCCTAAATGAAAACATCTGACATTTCTTAAAATATGAATTAATATCTCTTGTATACTATTGATTATTATTGAAAGGAAGTATAGTTTAAAAACTAGAAGTTGTAGTTCCATTTTATTGTTAGATCCTCAGCCTTTTCAGTTTTCTTTGTAGTCCTTGCTGTGTCTCCATTTTTTCTAATGCTTAGCTAGGATTCACAGAGATAGTTACATGTCTTCTGTTCTTTTATTTGTGTGTGTGAGTCATGGGGCTTGAACTCTGGGCCTGGGTATTGTACCTCAGCTCAAGGCTAGTGGAGCCATAGCACTACTTCCAGTTTTCTGGTGGTTTATTGGAGAAAAGAGTCTCACAGACTTTCCTGCCTCCTGGCATTGAACCGCGATCCTCAGATCTCAGCTAGGATTATAGGCATGAGCCACCAGCAACTGGCTAGGTCTCCTGTTCTTTAACTTCCAGATTTTGTCAACTGTCTCCATTGCTGTTTCTTGTGGATTAATGTCTTAACGAAAATACTAATAAAAAATTAAAACATAAAGATAAACATACACTCTTACTTCAGTAGACCCTGGGAAGGAGTTGAGGTTACCTGATACTGAATTGACCGCCAGAAACCAAATCTACTTTATGTTCTGTAGGTACAGACAGCCGGGCAGAAATACTGAGATTACGCAGACGATTTTTAAAGGACCGAGAAAAACTTAGTATGATTTATGCCAGGAAAGGCCTTGATGAACAAAAACGAGAGAAGGTTTGTATTTTTTTCATGAATTTAATTTCAGAAATACCTATTTTATGTCACAGTAACTATATTAAGGAAACAAACTCAAACTCCCCCTGAGATATTAATTCCACTATGAGTCTGTAAACTAAAAACCATAGAAGCAAAAAACAAAAATTTAAAAATCCCAAAACCATAGAAGTAGCACTATATGAATTAAAATTCATTATGAACCAAAGTCACCTCTGCCATCCCTTTAATGCCTGATGAGAGTCTTTATCCTCCTGAATCTGTTGTCTTATCTTTATGGGACTGTAAGGACCCAGCTCTGCCTCTTCTTTCTGTGGCTGCAACAGCTCAGCTTTGCTCTTCTCTGTACAAATGGATTTTCTCCATCATCCACCTTGCTTCTTTGATTTTCTATGTTATAGCTGCTGTCAAGGGATCAGCCCAGATCTACCTAAAGGGGAGAGATTCTTAATATCTACTCTTGCTCAGGGCCCATAGTTGTGGTGGGAAGGGGACCTGGGGAAGATGATTATACAGACAAAGGGCCAGATAGAGTGACTAAATAGTCTAAAAACCTAACTTTGTTTAGCTATTTTTGATTTTTCTTACAAAGTAGTAATTATGAACAAATTTCTAAGAAAGCATAGATTATAAATAACCTCATCATTGTTTTAATTCATTGAAAATCCTTAGCCCATTAACTTTCAACCTTTGAGTACAAAATGAGAGAAAATATATTTTCTTTTTTTTAAATAAGTTTTTTATTGTGAAAATACTGTAAAGAGGGGTTACAATCACATGAACAAGGTAATGAGTACATTTCTTATCAAGCTTTGTTGCCTCCTCCTTTGTTTTTCCGCTACCATCCTTTCCCTCCCACCTCCACAACCACAGAGAAAATATATTCTTTTGCATCTTTTTGTCCCTGTAACTATAATTGTTCTTTAAACATAAAGGTCCCAAATCACAGTATGCTCAGAAGCCTCCATTGCTTCCCCAGATTCTTCTGAGATTTCTAGCTGCTGACAAACTGTTGCTATTTTCTTCAGGCAGGGCTAATTAGATTTTTTTTACAGAAGGAATAGAAACCAAAATTGCTGGATAAAAGCTGCAGGACATGGTAGCACATACCTGTAATGCCAGTACTTGGGAGGCTGAGGCCATGGGATTGTGAGCTGTAGGCCAGCTGGGATAGGCCAGTGAGATCCTGTCTCAAAAAAGTCCCCAGAAGACATTATGGCCACACATGCCCTCTCACACTGGGTTCATATATGAAGCTGCTGATTAGTTATTTGGAGTGCCATAGAGGTAATCAGACATCAGAATGTCATGTGTTTATAGTAATGTTTTCATTGAAAAAATATGCCTGGAACATTTTCTTGACTGCAAGATGGTAGTAGGCTTGGTGCTAGCAGTGTAGTGGTAAGCAGAATATAAGCCTTCATGGAGTGCAGCTTGTGGCAGACAGACAAGTTGAGATTGTAGTAGTGGCAGTGTTAGAAGTAAGCCCTGTGATGAATGTATCTAGAGAAGATCTAGGTTAGAAGAGATAGTAGAAGAAAGCCTCAATGGCAAGAGAATACTGAAAAGGAAAGCAGCTGATAAGGGGAAAACAGCTGGACAGATTTCAGCAGGGATGGGCAAGGCTAAGAAGATGTTCCATCTGGTTGGAGGTTTGCCATTGCTGAAGGCAAGAGTTACTCTGGGCCTTGAACCAAAGTTTACTCATAGAGGGGTTAAACAGGAAACACAGCCTTTGATTTATACTTTTTACAGCAGTTCAAATCCAATTGTCTTATTTTGTGAAGCTTCTGATTACTTTGTAATGAATATTTTTACCATTTCGGTGCCCATCTGCCACAGTGACCATTCTAATGTGGATGAAAGTATCACTTCACTGTTATGTTATGGATCCTTTTTAAAATTTTTTATCAGCATATACTAGTCATACAAGGATTTCTTTTCTTTTTTGGGGGGGTCCGGTCGTGGGGCCTGAACTCTGGGCCTGGGCGCTGTCCCTCAGCTCTTCAGCTCAAGGCTAGCGCTCTACCACTTG